TAACTCTCCAGGTGCTCGGAGACAACTGACCAGCCGCTCATTGGTTAGCTAGGAACACCCTCTACCGAATCCAGTCGGTGCGCACACACTCCGAAGTACAGTCATGGCGGAAGAAAATGAGTCCTATTACTTTTCGGACAAACCCTGTACATGGTAATTATATGTTAAAATGCTTTAAATGCGGTTTAAATGACCTTTATCCCACGTATTTTGGGTTGCCAATACCGAATTAGAGGTCGTTTTACATGTATGTGATCCCGTTTATCATGTAGATCTAATTATTTAACGAAAAATTGCAAAACTAGGTGTTTTTTAAGGTGCTAAAAATCCATTTTTACTATCGATGGCTACATGAGAGCAAAGCTTTGCACAATGAGGTAATTTGGCACGCTGAATATGAATATCACAGTGCACAAATTCTAATGTGTTATCAGACTGGATTTAGGGTGGAAAGTTGACAAGAAACAATTTTTCCAGGCTAGCCGTAAATTCTAGCAACGTATCTACGAACCCGATTTACCCAGAAAACAAACTTCCATCTCGATCATAGACGCGCAAGAGTTTTTAGAAATTTTTTATTAGTCGTTCTTTGACAGAGTTGAATTCTTGCCAGTATCTTGAAAACGAGGCATTTTCGGTCGGAATGGGCCATAGATTCGGTTTCAGCGACCCAAAAGGTGTATTATAGGACATGTTGCGTTTACGTTCCCGACTGACCCATTTTGTGCCTTTTTGGTAACAACACCCCTATACATGGTAATTATATGTTAAAATGCTTTAAATGCGGATCTAATGACCTTTATCCCACGTATTTTGGGTTGCTTGTTTATATAGCATACATAGTTTCACTACTTCTGCAGGTACATCCAGACTTTTGCCAAATTGAACTTCCTGTTGCACAGTTTCGCGTCATTAAGATTTTTCTTACCTTTTGTGCATCTACTATACAGCACGTTTATAGACAAAGAGTTCTTAAAAAAGCAAACGGACACCCATACGCTTGATTTTGGCATACATTTTTGGGGGGTTACTTTGTTGAATTTATGATTTTTTTTCAATTTTACAGAAATTACAATTTGAAACAAATATATCACACTGTTCGTAGAAAGGGTGAATTTTTAGCGATTGGGTAATTTCAAGGAAGGCTTGCTTATTAACCAATACACCAACTTGTTTATCATTATAAGAAATTACTGATCGGCTATGCACTTTTTTAATGAGCATGACGAAAGTCTCCAAGAAACACTTTCCAAGCAGAAGCAACATAGATTTGAGGAAAGTGACTTTTATACAGGGTGATTTAGATTACGTGCCATTTTTGATACACGCATTTCAGTAGATGGCGCCGTAGTAGTTGCTTAAAGCACATGTTTCCAATTGATCATGACGCGTCCGTATTGTTAAAACGTTTTACTTAAATAATGAGTCGATTGCTGCAACGATTCGGAAGCTACGACAAGATTTCGGTCGAAATAATGTGCCCAGTGTGAACACCATTCGTCAGGTGGTGTGGAAAATTGGTGGTGATGTCAATTGGCTACCAAGGTCACCGATTTTTTTTTTCATACTTCAACTTCCACGAAGACCTAAGGCCTAAACACCCATTGGGTACCGTGGGGCTATAGGGGGATACAGGGGAAAGGCGGGACGCCACACAGACTCTGGCGAGGGAACACGTGTGCATGCAACATGCACACATTCTGGCTCCGCCTACGAGATCCGCCGGGTGGTACCTCCGCGTTCGACAGACAGAGACCGTCTACTACCTACGGACAATCACAACATCCATAGCCAAGAGAAAAAATTCTCCTGGGACGGGATTCGAACCCGCACAGCGCACGGCGACTGATCAGGAGACCGAATAGGCTACTACTGCGGCCACCGCTACCAAAAAGTGATGTAAAATGTAATCAAGAGGGCTCAGTTTTGCGCTGCTCCTAGAGGCGGAGCGGACATTTGTCTGATATTATTTTACGCACACAATTTCTAAGTTTCAATGAAAGATTGAGATGAAGAAAAATGTACGTATTTTATTTCATTTCACAAAGATTCAAGATACAAACCAGTCAGTTACATATCGGCCACCTTGTATTTCCTAAAACCAGTAGCGTAAAATTTTTCCTAAATGTAAACGTAAGAAGAAAACAGTGAGTTTCCATACCCATGATTATATCGACCATTTTACTCCCTACGCCACCGACGACGAAGTATTGTAACCGCGAAAAATTATATGACACGTACATCACGAAAATCATTTCCGTCTGTCTGTCTGTCGGCCTGTCTCTTTGTCGGTCTTTATGCTCGCCAATCTTTGGCCCGTCTGTAACTTTGAAAATACCACTCAAATCTTAATAAAATTCTTACACGGGATTACTAGTATGTCAAGGACGAAAAAGCTTTTTTGAAAATCTGTCTAGTGGCGGCGGAGCTGAGAGCAAAAAATTAAAAAAGTAGATATCGCTCAAACTTCGTTTCCTGATCGGTTGTTGTGGAAGATGGAGGGTTGTTAGTGCCCCATTTTTGGTATCAGTGGAATACGTAGAGTTGTGTGTTAGATATAATAGTCATACATATTTTACGTTGCAGCTAAACACTGAGCGTGACGGGTGTGATCGCGTGATAATGTATACCTGCAGATTCGCCTCGAAGTCCAAGTTCTCGGCTGAAACAGGCGTATGAACGAAGGGTTATGGACAGAAGTCCCAACGGCGGCGTTACGAATATTTGAGGCATTGCCTTTGGTTTACTATATCGTCGCTTTTGAGTCCTAGAATAGTATCAACCGAGACTCACCTAATCGCATCTAGCTTCCCTTAGATGTCCAGAGCAAAATGCTGTTAGTGTTACATTTATTGTACCAGTAAAAGATGTTCTACTGTTTGAGTGTCTTATCCCAGTAATATTACTCACGTGTAATATCCATACATCTTTGATTGAAATAAAAAAGTAATAGGTTTATTTTTATATGTAATTTGAGAAGTAGAACTGTGGAGTTTTACGTATATCTTAGGTAAGTGAACATACCTCGTCAAGTTTCGATTTCATTACACTTTTGAATACGCCTCACTAAATATTTTTTATTATATTTGTGAAACGTGTTAACTTATTTCTAAAAGGAGGTAACTTGTCCCAGTATCGTCTTCGAAGCTGTTACAACATCAGGTACAGAGCCAACCTACTTGACGTCATATTTTTATATAATTTGTGCTGAAGCTGCCTTTAAATATTCCTGAGAACTGCGAACACCCTGTAAGGGTTTAATTAAAGGATTCAGATGGCGTTTCCTTTGGGGCGCGTCCCGTTCTGACCGCGCGGCCGCTGTGTCCGGCGTTCACGGCATATACAATACTACTACTCAGAAACACTGCGAACCTTGCCTCAGTTAAGTTGGCCCATTGCTCCAAAACATGATATTTGTGAATCTTTTTGAGGGCTAATTAAAATTTTATTTCTTATATATTTATGGTTTCTTTAAATGTTTATGGAAAGTTAACAAAACCGGCGTGGCTTTTTTAAAGCGTTTTTATTTCGAAATTCGTCGTATCTGCTAAATGTTTTGAATATAGCAAAAAAGACAACTTAAGTTGAATCGTCTGTTTATTCGCTTTGATACAATAAAGGTACGCTTTGTAAAACAAATTATAACATTTTACCTTGCTAAGAAGCTGATTTATGACGTTTAAGTGAAATTTCAATGCAGTGCTGTTGTTAATAATAATAGTAATAATAGTAGCTTTATTGTCCAAAAGTAACCCATTTATATGACTATTAAAAAGAATATGGAAATTAACAAAAAATCATGCACAGTGGTAAAAAATAACACTTAAAAAAAATTAATAAAAAATGATAAGTTCGGCTGATGTAGATATAGGCGATCCTAACCAGTTCATTAACGGAACATATGAATATGTCGCAATGACAGCTAATATTGTTTAGATACTTACACATAGTGTGAACTGGCAATTTAACTAAAACATTGGTTCTTGCTCGAGCAGATCTGAATATAACATGGTCTCGTGAGGTAAAAGCAGGTACATTAAAATTTATTTGCGACAAAATTCCGGGTCAGTCAATATGACCATTTATTAATTTAAACAGAAAAACGGCAGTCGAAATGTTTATCCTTAATTCTAATGTTTTAACGTAGCTCCAAGCTTCTAATCCCTTGCTGCTGGTAAATGCCTTCTGATTTAAAATACAAATACTTCAGGAACTTTCGCTGAACTCTTTCAATGTCTTTCACATAGCATGTATAGTAAGGACTCCATACAACACCTGCGTATTCGTGTTTCGTCCGCACATATGCGAAATATAAGATTTTCAAGGATCTTTTGCTGTGAAACAGCCTACAATTCCTAACTAAAAATCCATAGGACCTCAAGGCTTCTGAAATTTTGTGAGAAATATGAGTAGTGAAGGTCAACTCTTCGTCAAAGAGAACTCCCAAATCTTTGTTGTCAACAATTAAAAATGGCGCGTGGTAAAGCTCTTTCTTACGAAATAAGAAAAGTGATCATTCGCTTGCATTTAAAAAGCCAAAATGCTGACAGTAATAACAAATCGAGGTATGCAGTTCGAAATATTATTAAATTGTACAAAACAACTGGATATGTGGCTCAAAAATCCAAAACTGGAAGTCAATCGCGTTATTCCAATACCAATTTAAGAGCCTTAAAACGGATTCTCAAGGGACATCGGCGTGCTAATTATAACGAACTGAAAATATTATGAAAACAGGCAACCACTAAAAAGTTTTCAAGAGCAACTTGTCACATAGGTGCCCAAAAACTGGGATTTAAAACTTACAAGGTAAGTATAATACAATAAGTTTTTCATTATTCGTTTTTATAGGCAAAAGAAGCCCTTACGGACAAAGATTTAGAAGAAAAACAGACTAGCGTGGGCCAAAGATCACAAATTATGGTCTCCGAACCAATGGAGCTCCATTATTTTGAGTGAAGCCAGGTTTGAAGTATGCGTTGGTGATAGTAGGAGTCGTGTCATAAGAACTAAAGAAGAAGTGTTTCAGAATGACTTTCTTAAAAAAAGTTAAGTTTCCGGCATCTGTTATGATTTGGGGATCCATGTCAGCAAGTGGTGTGGAAAACTTACACTTTGTGGAGGGTATTATGAATGCTGATAAGTACATGAATCTGCTTCAAAATAAGTTAATACCCCAAATTGAACAAATGAGTTTAAACAATATTGAATGTATCTTCCAACAAGATGGTGCCGCTTGCTATACGGCTAAAAAAGTAAAAAAAATGGATGCTAGGAAACAATATTTCAGTTTTTCAATGGACGTCAAGTAGTCCAGATTTATCACCAATTGAAACCTTGTGGCTTATCATGAAGAAAAAGCTCCAATAGAATCCCGCAAGAACCGTTCCAGAATTGCGAATGACAGAGATGAAATATTAGTTAGCACTATGTCAAGACGTATCGAAACAGTAGTCAGTCGAAAAGGCGATGTAACGCACTGGCTGCTATTTAGTTTCGTTGATTTTTATTAATCGGCAGTTTCTTGATTTGGTAAGATATTTTTTCTTTGTTAGAAAAAATGTAGTATTCTAAGCTGATTTAAAATTAAAATATCGTACGTTTTCAGAAATACATTTTAGTTTTTGATACGTTTCTGCTTATATGACAAATTTCCAAAAAAAAAAACTAGTTTAGATAGTTGGTAGTTAACTCCTATTATTCGGGCAGAATTCTATGACCTTGAGAGCCCAACACACGCTGCAAGAAGCTGTCACGCGCTAACGGTGTGTAGTCGTCCGCGTAATACACGTTTTGACAGTCGAAATGAGAATGAGCCAGATCAAAAATGTCGTGAACGGTAGACTCAAAAAATAAGCGGTAGACGTTAGCAATGAACCAGTGAAAACCTTCTCAGTCATTGTATCAGCACTTATCATTTTGGATACATTCAAGTGCCTCCACAGAGACGTTTTGAAATATTATAGGAATACTTACTTAACAGCTTAGCATTTAGTATTCACAAAGCACATTTTAGGTTCCATTACATAATACATATAGCTAAGATCTAACGATATGACGATCGTCGCTAAAATAAACAGAAACATCGACTGCTGAAACGAATAGTTTAATATGCGCATGCGCGTTTAATTTAAGAGAACAACTTTTTGGAAACAAAACAAACTGGAAACTTATGTCCACGTTGTCAAGAGACAAAAAAGTTTTCAGTTGTTTTGTTTTCAGAGTGAAAATATGTGGCGTTCTTATGCTGAAAGGCAGAAGAGCAAAGATTGTATCATAATGTCTGCTGGTTATGTATTTCTCCAGAGTAATGACCGGGAAAATAAAAAAACGCTTTGGGGTGAAACCATCCTCACGTAAAAGAGATGATTGTGGTATTGAAAAATTATTCTTGTCGGATTTGCGTGAATATGTTATTGGATTGCGAGGAGAAATGCGTTCTAGTTTTGAGAACTTCTTAATAATGTCCAGTGGAAACTTTGAAGAATCAATACGAGGGTGGTCCCAGAAGTACCCGACCCAACGAAGAAAACACAAAATTTTTGTAAAAGAATGTATTTATTTTTCAACATAATCTCCTTTGAGCTCTATACACTTTTCCCAGCGATGTTCAATAAGTTCGATACCCTTTTTATAATAAGAACTATCTTGCTCCTCAAAATAGCCATTAACTGCCTACATCACTTCTTCATCGTTGGAAAATCTTTGGCCACTGAGCCATTTTTTCTAGTTCGGAAACAGAAAATAATCCGAGGGGCTAAATCTGGAGAATAGGGTGCATGAGGTAGCAATTCAAACTTTAGGTCGTTAATTTTGGCCACTGCAATAACGGATTTGTGAGCTGATGCATTGTCTTGATGAAACAACACTTTCTTCTTAACCAAATGCGGCCGTTTTTGCTTGATTTCATCGCTCAAACGTTGCAATAAGTTCGCATAATACTCGACGTTGATAGTTTTACCTTTTTTAAGATAGTCAATGAAAATTATCCCACGCGCATCCCAAAAAAGGACCCATGTTTCATCCATGGTTATGAAATGACGCAAAAATTCTGCTTTGTTGCTGTGAAACTTCGCTAAACACTCAATTGAAACATCTTCACGACACTGTTTTTGCTCGATTGTGAGCAATCGCGGCACCCATCTTGTACACAGCTTTCTCATGTCCAAATTTTCAAATAATATGCGATGAACCGCACTTTTTGAAATGCCTACTATGTCTGCTAGCTCGCGCACCTTCAGTCGACGATCATTTGGTACCGCTTTATGAATTTTCTTCACCATTTCTGTAGTCGTCACCTCATTTGGTTGACCACTGCGATGCTCGTCTTGGCAGCTCATACGGCCTCGTTTACACTCTGCCACCCAATACTGTTGTAAACGAAGGAGCAGACTCACCCAGAGTAGAATCCAGTTCAGCTTTTGTATTGGCAGAGCTGAGGCTATTGAAATAAAAGTATTATACCACATAACGATGACCAATTTTCTCCATTTTCACAAATTCACTTTTTTTATACTCCAACTACCACGAAGGCCTAAGGCCTATGCACCCATTGGGTACCGTGGCGCTATAGGGAGATACATGGGAAAGGGGGAACCCCACACGAACTCTGGCGAGGGAACACGTGTGCATGGAACATGCACACATTCTGGCGCCGCCTACGAGATCCGCCGGGTGGTACCTCCGCGTTCGACAGTCAGAAACTCTCTACCACCTACGGACAATCACAACATCCATAGCCAAGAGAAAAATTTCTCCTGGGACGGGACTCGAACCCGCACAGCGCACGGCGACTGATCAGGAGACCGAAGAGTCTACTACTGCGGCCACCGCTGCTGCTTTCACAAATTCGCTGAAAACGTTCAGTATTGATGGCTGCCAAACAAATACTAAACAACGTGGCGTCTTCAAACTTGACGCATATGCTTTATAGGTTGCATACTTTTTAATACAATGATATTTTTCAAACAACTATTGCCATTTCTAGGTCAGGCCGGGTACCTTAGTACAGCTGGTCGGTCCTGAAATCTATAAAAAATACCAATTTTAGAAATAACACTAACATTAAGATATAGGATACTCCCTACATAATTCAATTAATTTACTCGTGTTATCTACACTCCACTTTTTCACCTGACATACTGCATATTTCTTTTTAAATACCCTACACCGCGCCTTCGAATTTGATACTAGCTTTTGTTTTATATTCGTTTAACAACAAAGTACACGTTGCACCGACAATGTTGCCTGAAATGAAAACAGAACAAATACCTTTTGATCTTTACCGACTCGCAACGGGTACGCCAAAAGTTGCCTGAAACAGAAACAAAACACGAATTGTTGCCGATTTGTTGCTTAATTGTTGAAAAACATTGAGTTGCTGTTTTGTTTCTGTTTTGTTGGTGTGGTGTGGACCCGGCATTAGATGGCGAAAAGTATTTCACTTTCAATAATTCTGAAATGAAGGGAAACGACGGATTTGATACGGAAAACGTAGAGGAATGCCCTGACAATATTCAATACAAAGATAAAGTGACATTGGCAGATAAAATTCTTGTCTGGTGCGCAATTTCTGACAGGGGTATATCCCAACCTTTTGTGTGAACAGTGTGGGGCAAAGCTTTGAATCGTCAGAGTTACACCGATAACTGCCTTTCCATATTGCTTCAGTTTGTCCACGAACATCATGTTTTGGTCAGACCTAGCCATCATGCCATTACTCAAGAGATACCCAACATACCTTTTGTTCCCAAAAACGATAATCTTTCAAACTTTCTGCAAGCTCGTCCAATAGAGAATTTTTGGGCTTTACTGACTAGAAAGGTTTATCATGGAGGCTGGGAAGCCCAAGACGAAGAACAGTTAAAACGGCGAATTTACGAAAACCTGAGAAATTGATATGAATTCCGTCCAGGACCTCATAAGAGACATTCGAAGAAAGTTGCGTCTGGTAGAGCAGAATGGGCCACTCTATATAATTCGATAATATAGTTTAATTAAGTATTTAGTTGTAATTTATGATAACTAGTTAGACTTCTTCAGCGATTGGGATTGCATACAATACGGCTAAACAAATAATCTCTGCAGAGATGGACAGAAAGATCCATCGATACTGGAAGATATTAGCATGGTTAACCCATGCTAAGGCAACTATACCAATCTTGACAAAGAAAAGAAGGTAACAGTATCTTTGCTACGGTTGAACAGGAATAGCCTCAAAGCTCTAGTTCGCTGGGACAAAGGGTAATGAGACGTCGGACGCTCTGGCGAAGACAGGATCAGCCAGCAAGCTGGTTGGTTCTAAGCCAGCTTTAGGGGTGCCCGCGCTAAGAGTTAGGAGGAAAACGGAGAAGTGGATTGCAAGACAACAGAAATGGAGAAGCATCTCCAGACATCTACGTCAGGCACGGGAACTCATTGCAGGGCCCAACGCTAAGGACGGACGATTCTGCTTATCTTTGGATAGAGCGAACCTAAGGTTGCTGGTGGGACTGTTGTCTGGCCATAACACATTAAGGCGTCACCTGCACGTGATGAGGGTGGCTGAGGATCCCTTGTGTGAGCGCTGCGGGGTAGAAGAAGAGACCTCGGTGCACGTTCTGTGTCGCTGCGAGGCTCTTAGCTACTTCAGGCAAACTATACTGGGGTTCATCACTTTGGACACCCAGGACATTAAGGAGCTTGGACTCAAGGCCATACTCAACTTCGCTAGAATGGCGAGGCTTGAGGTCTAAGAAAGGTGGAGGTGCACAAGGGCCCGTCTGGGTGGCCTATGCGCTGGCTCCTTATGGTGGCCGGTATGCCTCTAATTTCGTGTTTTCATTCATCCATTCAAAGCTCTAGAAGGATTGTAGACTGGTCATTGGAAGTTGCATCGCCACATGAGCAGGCTGGGCATGGCGGAGTACGCTGAGTGCAGATGGTGGAGGGAGATGAAACGGTCAGGCATGTATTGTACAGATGCCCTGCCATTGCCAGAATCAGGTGCAACATGCTTCGAGACGTAGAACTCCAAGCAGAAGACCTGAAGGATACTTCTCCAAGCAAGTTGATCGAATTCCTCAGGAGGTCGGAGCTACGGCGGGGACTTTAAATAGCCATGAGCCACAATAGACCAGAGTCGCAGTGGAGGATCGTTATTGATTCACTCACAAGAAACCTACCTTAACCTAGTCTTCTTCATTAAAAAAAAATAATCCGATAAACCTTTGTGCCAAAACTTTTTTTGGACATACGTTACCATGTTTTTCTTTCTTACGCTTATTCGTGAAATAGGCTGTAATGAGACGAATGCACGTTACGCGATGCGCAACCCCTCGTATTAATGTAAACTGCGTTGCTGGGTAGTATCGTATATACTGTATCTATGGCTCCGCCATGAAATGTGCGGGTGCTTCGGTATTCTGATGGCGTATTGCTACTTGAACACAATGAACTCTTTCAGTTCGTCGAGAGCTGAAAGCAGAGAGCAGGCAGCGATGAGCCGTACCACGCTGGAAAGTAAGAAGGAGACGGTCAATTATTGAGCTCTACTATACGCTCTTAATAACTGTGGCGTAAGGAAAATCACTTACATGGGCCTTATTGCCAATTAGACGGTAATTACCAATTCTTAATACCGCTCGTAACGCGAAAATACCTTGCGCGCAATTAAACAGGACTGCTCTCTGAGAACCGCCGAGCTGATAAAATTTGAGAAAATAATAAGATGAGCTTTTTGTCATTCGCTCTCTTTTAGTGGCTTGTCTGCAAGCCAGGGACGGCATCTGCTCCATCAAATCACTCCAAAAAAGTAATAGAGTAAAATAGATGTTCTAAGCACTTCATTATAGTTGCTGGTGAGTGTTTTGCTCCTCTAATGCCTACCTAACTACCTCAAGTCCATTTTAAAGATTTCAAGTTTTTACTTTACACGCCGCTAGTGAGGCAGTATTGTAGTTGCGAAAAATATCGAAAATAAGAAAAACCATGTCACTTATTCTGACCGCTGATTCTTAGTTTTTATGTAACTCGGTAAGTATTGCTAGAAAACAGCTTTGTCGATTTTGAAAATTAGTCAAAGGTTGACTCTGCCCTTCCCACGCAAGGCTGTCATCAGTTCATAAAGGATTACGTTCGGTACAGAGAGAAAAGATAGATACGAACATGTAAAAGAGAGACATTAAACATATCGAGTTAGTCAAACAGGCTATAGTCCATGGACATATTTCCCAGCCAGCCGATAGCACCGTCCATCTGGCAAAGTTGCTCCTCTTACCGCTCGATGAATGAATCCACTCGTCAGACTCGGTAGAGTAGCAGTGACGGATCGACACTTATGGGAGAGACTGTCAACCCAGAGACACACGCGTGTCGAAGGTATTTCCTTATCATCCCTATCATTGAAATGTACGAAGAAATTTATGACGCCTGAAACACGTCTAATAGGTGCGTAGAATTACCGGGTTTGAGAGCGTATAAATATACTAACATCAAAAAATTGAGATAAATCCTCCCCCAATCCGCAATTATGAACACTTACAACATTGTATCCTGAAAATGTCAAAATACGAAGTTTAAGGGACCTCTATTTTTTCATTTATTTGCTTCATAGCTCCGCCACCATTGGACCGATTTTCAAAAACTGTGAAGGTTTTTCGTCATTGGTATAGTAGTAAGCTTGTGTGGAAATTTTATCAAAATCTGTGAGTTATAGCAGGGCGAAGGATTGGCGGACAGACAGACCGACGGAAATAAGTGGCATAGTTTTGCGTGATGCACCCTTATTTTCGAAATTTTGCGGGATTACAACACTTCCTCGCCAGTGGTGTAGCAATTGAACCTTGTTTTTCGTCGTTTCATGAACGTATTTCAGGGGTGAAAAATTGGTACTAGGGGGTTATACCTGATTTTTTTCGACGTCAGTATATCCGCTCCTAGCCCCAACAATTGCCCTTACCTACCTATTAGACATTGTGTTGACGTATATAGATTTCTCCTCCATTTGCCCTTAAGTCTGCGAATGATACAAATATTTCCAATCGCCGTGTCAAGCGAAACGAAAATAATAATTATAATAATAATGATAGTAATAGTTTATTCATCCTGTGGATCACAAAGTGATACAGGATAAGTCATAGTGGTATGGTAAACATGAAAATAACTGCACACATACATACATAATATCCAAATATAAAAACGATATGTATAAACATGAAAATGAATTAAAAAGTCAATATTTTGACATTAAACAATATATTACAACAATTGAAAAAGAAAATCGCACATTATAAATTCTTCTATAGAGTAGTAGTAAAATTTCCCAGATTCTTTTTTTGAAATAATTTCAGCGGTAGTGAATGGATAGTTTGTTGAAGATTTTGATTGCCATATATTTGTGACTCTGGTATCAACTAATATACCGTTAAACCCTTGACACATATTTATGAACTGTCTTAGGTTAGTAGAACTGGGAAAACCTTCCTTTTGTAGATTATTCCAAAATCTCGAGACCTTCGGGACGAAGGAGTGGTCATATCGGCCAGTTCTGGATGTACGAAGTTCGACATGGTTAGAATAGGAGGCCGAAATCAGGCGTGACTGTCTTGCAAGAGACATCGATCAGACGTACAGCCCTCCCCTGGACAGCATCGAGCATAGATAATGTAGTCGGGGCGGCAGCACCCCAAACGAGTGAGCAATACTCTGTCTGGGCCTTGCATAGAATGAGGAGGTCATGCGGAAAGAGTACTTCTTAGCCCTAAACAAATAGCTTAATTTTTCCCCAGCAGCTGCTGATATTGTCGAGTTGTGTTGGTACCAGATCATGTCCTCGGTGATCTGGACTCCGACTAGCCGAAATGAACGGCTCTTTGGCAGAACTCGGCCATTCATCGCAGCCGGATGAACGCTAGGACGTTTTGTGGTCATCAAGGTACAGTACTGTCTCATTTCCAAGCTATTTCTTTTTTGCCCACCTTGTCCTTATTTTAGCATTTTCGACATCTATTGAATGCTGGTGTTCCTTGACATGTTTACTTAATGCACCGACTTTTAAATAATTTTTTATGTCATATTAATGCTTCAAGTGCAGTTTTTTCATAGAATTTTATATATTAGGTTACTTTGTATTTCGTTGATGATGTGTGGCTTCAATTTTGTGAATATGGTGCCGGTAATGATATCAGATTTTTGGGCTATTCAGATATGTCTAGAAAATTCATTATTAATATTCTCAGAGAGATCTGATACATACTACATCAATATGTATTTTTCATTATTGTTCCTGCTTAGTTTATTATTATGGTTGTACATTATCTGTATTTTTTTCTTAATAGTACTACTATCAAAGAAATGTTGTCGATAATTATTTTCTAAAAAATCTTTCTTACCTTTTTAACATCTGATAGCAAAACTTCACGATCAGATAAATTTATACTATTTAAAGAGCTTGTGGGTCGTTCCGTTTTCCAAGTTTTCTTGCACTGATGAAAACCTATTTTCCAATTATTCCCGAATGACGAAGGTTTGGCCCTCACCCTTGATGTGTTAAGTGAACGGAAGCAGAAACACACACCACACGTCCTAACTTTCGTTGTATTGTACACTGACATTGCAGTTAGTGATGGGAACATGGCCAAGTATACTTGTTTCAAAATATGGACACCATACAGTTATATCGTGCATGAAAAGTTGACAAAAGCATTCGTTGAAATATACATGTATGCTCTCAGACAGCGCTGTTTCGTGCTCATTAGCAACTCGTCAGTGCGGTATCGCCCTAGTAGTGCCGGAGACCGGTTCACAAGTCCATTTTAAACGTTTCTATACACATATTTTTTATTCAGAAGGAGCTGGTCAGGCAGAAGCCTAAATACCAGGGCACCGCGGCTGTTATAAGGAGCTTAAAGAAACTTTGTTAGGCTGATTTTTCAACAGCCTTAGGTTAGTAGAACTGGGAAAAGCCTCCTCGGGTAGATTGTTTCACAATCTCGATAGCCTAGGGACAAAGGAGCGCTCAGATCGGCTAGTTCTGGATTGACGAAGTTTAACACGGTTAGGATGGGAGGCCAAGGTCAGGCTGGTCGTGCCAGATCAAGTCCTCGGTGAACTAGACTCCGACCAGCCGAAATGGTAGAAATCGAAAACGGAATAGAAAGCCATTACTGGGCTGTTCTGTAAATACATGGTGTTCCGGCTACTAATTGAGTCGACCGGTTTGGTAGCCTTACATCTATCTGTGCGTTACGCGGAACGTCGAGAAGTTATGAGCTGACAGCGTAGCGACTTTCCGTCATCTTCCATTGCATGAGGATGAAGATCAATTTTGGCAAACCATTTGTAGGGGGAGATCGTCAGATTTCTCACCTACATCCGTTACAGAAAGTCGTATATTACTCAAAAAAAAACAAAAATTAACCTCCTCCACATTAAACCCCGTTATCAGATTTCGAAATATCTAGTTTATGTCTCAAGTATCTTTGAAGCCTTTTTTTTCGTAGAACTTTAGATTTCTTACAAAAAGATGATTTTCAATTAGGTCCGATGCGTTTGTTTCCACTAAGCCCTTAAATTTCGTATTCGCAAATGTATCTTATGACCTTAGGGCAAATTTTCAATCTCAGTGGGAGAAGATCCGGGGAATTCAAGGAGATCCGAAAAAAGTTAAAGAGCTTCGATCGAGGTTATTTAAGCAAACCAGCAGGTGTGTTACGTAAATAATCGATGTAATGTCATAAAAAATATGTATAATGTCAACCTGTTTACAAGTAGTCGCTAGCCCGTGCCGCACCTTCTCACTGTGAGCGCCACCTATGGAGGAAAGGCACAACGACCATCATTCCGGCAATAGTAGGTATAGAACGTATAGAATGCTTCAGTGGACGACAGCATCTTGGTATACGAAGGAGTTGCGTATTTGGGGCACTCAAGTCTTTTTCGATATTTAAGACCATTCCCCCTCAATTCCAACGATATCGTACTCTTAAAAGATCTGTATTGACGAACCAGTCTCCTTGGTGACATTCCAACCTGATTTTTTGCGGTTCTCACCAATCTCTATGATGTCTGCGCAATGAATGCACGTGGCATTCCCTGCTCATACTCCGATAGTGTTTGATAAATGGTTATGCGTGAAAGTCTTCATTCTGGAATATTTAACAGAATTCAGCTTTGGGCATGTGCCCAACCAACTTGTAGATACTTTTTTTTACTTCTAATTTATGCACCTAGTAAGTAAACAAACTTTTGTTTCCAAAGGCAACTTGATGTTATTTTGTGTTTATTAAAATTAAAGCCAAAACATTTTTTGCCAAAGCTTTGGTGGGTGAGAAGACATTTTTATCCAAAATATAATAGCATTTACCGTTCTTTCAACTGCAGCATAGAAACGATATAAATATTTGACAATTTAACGTTCAAGGCAACAGTTATTTACCAGGAGCTAAGTGCAAAGAGAGAGGGAACAAAATCTCCAGTACGACGTGGATAGAAAAAGAAACACTGACGGTTTTGTGGTTGTATTAAAGCAAATAAAATTGATAATTCGTCACGGTATCTGTTGAGCTGTGAATTACAAAAATATATATCGGCTTGAAAGTTCGCGGGTTCGAATTCCGGTGTCGGTAGTTACATTCTGACCCATCGATGTCGTGTATTTTGCATTGCTGGAGCTGGTTTGTTCATTGTTCAACAATAAGTTATTAGTAGATAGGCCTATACCCTATTCGTAGTCCACCTACGCCCCGGCACAACAAAGATGCAGCGTGGCAAAGCGGCAGCTGCTTAAGCGTTGCAATAGCTATTGGTCATTCGGCTATAAAACTACGAACAAGTGCAGGATTCGATAGGATAGAACTTAGGCTCGGGGTATCGCCGGCATGCCGACGGCGGCAGTTGCTGTTCATAGTCGGTGCATACATACGTTATACGTTATACGTTAGCGTCGTGTACGGATACGAGGGATGAATAAAACAACACAGTAGGTAGTTTTAAATGACTTTATTGTTTTCCGCAGTATTCTCCACCAAGATTAATACACATCTGCATGCCCTCGAACCAATTTTCGAAGCCCTTATTCCACTCGTTTGCTGGCAGATCCAAAAAGGCATTTTTGAATGCGTCAACTGCTTCTTCTGGTGACTGGAACCTTTGGCCACGCAGTCTGTTTTTAATTTTGGGGAAAGTAAAGAAATCGTTAGGACTTAGATCGGGACTATATGGAGGATGGTCCAATAATTCCACGTTTTCTTCCGTTAAATACTGCCTTGTTTTTTGGGCTGTGTGCGAGCTTGCATTGTCTTGATCGAGGATGATTCTTCTTTCGGGGTTGATTTTTAGAAGCTCGGTGATGACTTTTCGCAAACAAATGGTAGTATACCAATCCGCAGTAACAGTTCTTTGCTCATTAAGAGGAATGGTTGCAATATGACTCGCTTTTGACACACATGTCGCGACCATCTTTTTCGAAACACTTCGAGAACGGATGACTTTTGTTGTCTTTTCTTCACCTTAGAACACCCAAACAGCCGACCGTCGTTTACTTCCTGGTTCATAACAGTAAATCCACGTATCGTCACCACTAACAATGCTCTCGCGATATGTCACATGTCTATCTTCAATGATCAGTTTGCGCACAGCATCGACGTTTTCCTGGGTGACTGCCGATTTTGGTGCACCCACCCTGAGATCGTCCACGTTTGAATTCTCCATACCAATTGTCGACTGATGTGGCGTTTTGTTGCCGAAAACAGACAGTCACTCAGCAAGGCATTCTTGTTGCGATAATTGTCTCTGAAAGTTGTAATAAATTATGGCGCAAAAATGTTCTCGCTTGAGTTCCATTTTTCTAATGACTTGGTGACACTTAAAAATTCACTGTAGTGAGAACACTGCACGTATTGTTGTGAAACTTTGAATTTAAGTTTACTAAAGAGTGAGGTTAAGATTCAGTACTGACGTTCGATATGTGAAACTTAAAAGACATCCCTCGTACAGCAGATGAAACTGAGAATATTTCTCCCAATGCCTCCTTCAGCCATGCTTCCTCTTCAGTGATGTCTCCTCTCCGAAACGTGACAAGAAAGGACATCTGAATATTCAGGCAAAAGAAATCATCCTTAACGTTTATAAGAGCGAAATTTTAGAGCATTCTGAAATGAAAATTCATGATATTAAAGGGCTTGTGGAGAACAAAACAGGTTATGCTCTAAGACAATTTTTAACATTGTTAAAGAATATAAAAGAAAACAAAGAATTGTCTCCACCACACAAGAAGCTGTTGGATACATTTGATAACTTTGATCCGAATGCCATCAGACGAAGTCCATCATTTTTTTTAAAGACTCAAGTACTTCCAGCGAATAAATAACTGTGAAAAGTATGTGCACTTCTTTCTATAAAAATAATTATTTGTTAGATTAGTCCAAGACCATTGAGGAAAATACGGACCTGCACAATCTCGCTTTTGGGATGTTGTGTTTTGTCTGAGCGTAAATGGACTACGAATGGGGTATAGATGCTACGTATCGCCTCCCCACCATTATTGCTAACACTACAACTACCATAAAGCATTACATACGCGGTGCTTACTAGTGATGTGATCCTAGTATCCTGATGATACGGTACGAGTATTGTGCGCAGACAAATATTCGCAGTATTCGAATTCCGATAGAATTGAAATAATCTCATCCCCATCTTATCGGCGACATGTGCACGGCCGGAGTCGCACTTGCGTGACAAAACCACCGACACCGACGAATAATAACCCCTTTCCCTTCGTCTTTTCCGCCCTGTCCGTCCCTTTTCCATTTTCCCTGTTCTAGGAAACCGTCAAGGTTCAATTGTCAATAAGGAATCGATCAATCAGATCGTCAACGGTGAGCGGTAACACGTGTTCCTCTAATCGCGCACTTTCCAGTGACAGTTGCCCTAATGAAATGCTCTTTACGAGCAGACCTGGGCAAAAAGAGCCCGCAGAAACTTAATTGGAAATGGCTTTCGGCTAATTTTTACGCATTTAACATGATGTAGATCTCAACAAGTAAAACAAAAGTATCTCTGAACCGAAAACTTCTACACGAGTGGTATCCAAGATACAGGGTCTCTAAGCTGTACAGTCCGTACCCTGTTACAGCGTATTGTTGGTTGGTATACAACATGCTAAAGTTGTCTGATATTTATTTATGTTGCTGTCTTTATCTCTACTAGCTGGTTTACGAATGATACAATTCTCATGTACAGTTTTTTCAGATACGGGGTATTAGAATTAGACCATCGATATGTATATGTGTGTATGTATGTTTATATTTGGGCATCCATGTACATACTGTATGTAGCTGTGGTGTATTTTAGTTTATAGTATAGTTTAGTTGACAAAGATAGTTAAGTGTAAGAGTAGCCTAGGCTAAACTTCGCTATATTTGTCCCTCACATGTACAACAAATAAAGGCATTATTATTATTATTTTTATTATATACAGGGTGTCCCAGATATGACATGCCAAAGTGACACGGAAGGTAGATTGGCTTCTCATCAATCGGATAAAATTAACAACCTGACCTTAGTAAAAGTTTTCCAGTTTTCGAGATATTGCCACTTTTAAGTTTTTTCCTAAAAATCCCTACTTTTTGCTCTTTTTCTGCCTATTATGGCTATAAAGAACTAACGTATGATTTTTTTCCTGGGCCACAATTGATTAATAGTTGGTTGAAACAACTGAGTAACCATTACATTGAAAACTAGCACAGTATGCTACAAAAAAAACTAAATTATTACATTTGATTTCAATGCGAAAACCTTTACTAAATTTTGACTGATTACTATTTAGTCTTCTTTCAAAAATAGCATAACATTTGTAGATTCTTTTTCTAGAAACTGAATAATTCCATATTTTCTCATTCGAGTCGTAATATTGCAAATAAAAAATAATAAGTGCAGCTGTGTTTTGTTTCCAAATTACTACTTTGTAGTTGCTTTTTATTTCAGCAAATGTCTACAACAGTTATTAATTATCCTTTTTTATTCATTGTTGTATGCAGGCATCAAAATAATGAAGAGAACATTAGGTTGTATTTTTTTCCGTTGATTTTCACAACATTCAAATCAAATCAAGAATTAACATTTTAAATTAACTAAATGAAAATTAAATTAACATTTTGTAATGTAAATATTCACTGAAATAAATGATTATTATTATCATTATTATTATTTAACAGATTTTCGAAATCCTCCTAAACAAAACCTGCATCTAAAAATTGTCCTTTTAAGCGTCTCAAACTTAAATCGGATATTACGAGTACTGCTTGACGGATTCGATGACGCAGTTCATCGGCTGTTCGAACTGATTTTCCATAGACCTTAACTTTTAAACATCCATAGGGTTCAGGTCTGAGGAGCGTGGTGGCCACAAAATTGATCCTAGCCAGCCAATCCATCTTCTAGGTACTTAATGTTTCATCAAGATACCCCCTTAAGAGGCACATCTTCCAAAACAATGGGGGATAAAGTTGCAAAAAATCTAAATAAATTTTTGTTTTTAGGATCATTTGTGGACTGGTACATTTTTTCCCACAGTAATTAGTCAAACTTTAGTTAAGGTTGTCACATTGAAACAAAATGTAATCATTTATTTTTTTCATCACAACGTGCTGGTTTTCTATCAAATGAAAAAATAAATTAGATATTTTTTCTAGCCATAACACACAAAAAAGCAAAGATTTTTTGAAAAAACTTAAGAGTGGCAATATCTCGAAAACTAGAAAACTTTTCTTGTTGATTTTATCTGATTGATCTGCAGCCAATCTTCCTTCCGTGTCACTCATGTGTGTTATTTCTGGGACACCCTGTATAAGCCACGGACAAAAATACTTTTTTTGATGATCGGTTCAGTGGCGGCAGAGAAAAAAGCCAAAAAAGAAAAAGTAAAACCCGCTAAAATTGTTGACGTTTTACAGTACCCGGATCATTTTTGAGAACAAATTTAGGAATATAATAGGGAGCGTGGAGGCTGTAGGAGGTGCGGGAAGGTGTATCGAAATTGCTTGATGTCAGTATATCAATACACTTCCAACTCCAGTAATTCTACTCAATACAGACATATTTCACACATCATTAATTTCTCTCTTAAAACAGACAAACATTTTCAGCAGACGGATCGCGTATCTATCGGTCGCACTTGCCGTGCACCACGGAATCACAAATATTGCATCTTTGCGCGTTGACTCGATATGCACATACGAGGTGGGCACGATCTTATCTATATATACAAGCATATAATTTATTGACGTTACTTGATTTCGTGAGGTAATATCATGTAATATGCATAGTACATATACAAATACGCATCAAGAGCTATTCTAATTAGTTATCATACATTAATGACACATGTTTTACGCTACAGCTCCAAAGAAATGAGGCTATCGTGTTCGGAGATGCTGCAATTCGAAAACCTTTCTTTTTTAAAGCCACTACTTAGTAATAAAAATAAATAAGAGAAAAATTAATTTAAAAAAATAAAAATATAAGGTGTTTTTGTATAAAATTTTCTTTGTCCTAAAGTTTAGGTTAGGAACAAGATATCGAGATGCGGTTTTCGCGAGATTGTTTAGACATCATTTAGCTACTTGTTCATAAAAAAACATCATACCAATGCATTTAATTTTTCAGCTCTTTTCAACTAGCACAAGTTTGTTTCAGTCGGCTCAGCCGCTTCGAAGATACAGGGTGTTTTTACGGAATCCATTATTTTTAGAGATACAGCAAAAATTATGAAACAAATAAAGTTCACATAAACATTACTTTTTTACATTCAAGATTGCAAGTACGACTCATAGCGGCCATTTAAGAAACTTGAAAATATTTTCTAGGTTTTTCTCTTGACCGATTACAATACTTTCTCGCACAGTGGCGTAGGTGATAAGAATCATGGAATGTCATAGGGTCAAATTTGGGGTAAAAAATTAACCGCATTTGAGGTCAATGTGTATCTCTCTCCACTGCCGTTCAAGCAAACGAGTTCAATGTTACAACGTTATCCCAAATGTCTTCGTTCATTCTTGGTGTCTATCACAAGCCAGGTCCACGTTGCTATCCCAAGCAATCGAGTCCAATGCTTCCGCGTTATCCCAAACGTCTTTGTTCGTTCTTGGTGTTGAGCTGACTATCCCAAGCCAGGTCCACGTTGCTATCCTAAGCAACCGAGACCAATGTTTCAGCGTTATCCCCAATGTCTTTGTTCGTCTTTGGTATGGAGTTAGCTATCACAAGCTAGGTCCAGGCTGCTATCTCAAGCGTCGTGTCAGGTTCGGTTTGCAACGCACCCATACTAACATTCACCTAACTTGCACCTAAAACAGATCGGCCAAAATGGGTGCACGAACCCGATTGACGTGTTATCCGTTTGACACGAGAAGAAGGCATGAGAGGGCGGAGAGGAGGCAGGTGCGGTAAGCCGCTTTCCTTCGCTGTGTGCGACTCGGTTTGGTCAGATACGAGGGTAATACAATATCTATTATATTTACTTTGACGAGGACTTCACATAATTAAGATCGAACATCACTTACAGGTAAGTTCGTTTGATCAAGTAATTTTTTTTTAAGAGCTTACATCTTCTAGAAAAGAAAATTAGGAACAACACTGAATTAATCGTGACCCTCAAGTGGATCATCAAGGGCTGCTTGATGAAAAAATAAATTACGATTTTTCCAGGATTAAATGGTCGTTGTTTCGATCCATCACGAAAGCCGGTGGTGGTGGATTTCCCATTTCCCACTTG